TCCAAATTGTTGCTCTTAGAGCATTTTCAGTTGAACAATGGGAGCAGAAGCCACACTGAGCAGGGGACAGATGGGAAAGGTCGCCCTCAGGATGGGTGAGGGTTGGGGCAGCCGGCCTGTGGGGGTTGGTACAGGAATCCAGATAGGAGATGATAAAACTCAAGAGCTGGGAGCCCCACTCTGGTTAGGAAAACATGATCTCAGCATCTGCAGAGGAGCAACTGGGAACTGGCCCGCGGTTACTCCCAGACATGAAGAAGGAGGTGAAAGGTAAGGCGAGGGAGCCATCTGGGACCCCAAAGAGTCCATGCCAAGGGCACGTGCCAGGGTGGCTGCTTTCTGGAGTGCTGGAAATGAAGGCAAGCGTCCCTGCTGCTCCTGGTCACACAAGCCCTTGGGGGGTGGGGGCTCTGAGGGTCCATTAAGGGACAAACTAAAGTGAACAGAAGTAAAGGAAGTATCATGTCTTGGGTTAAGAGAACCGGCCTTTGGAGCTGAAAACCCAGCATTAAAAATCCGCCTTCACCACCTGCTCTCTGTGTGACGTGGGGCAAGTTTCTGAACATTTCTGTGGATTATAAGATCGAGTCTGTCTTCAGAAATGTTGTGGTATGAATGAATGTGTGTGGATCCGAGTGGAGAAAGTACGGAATCTGCAAACCCCTGTTCCTGGGGTTTTCTCTGATGGTGCCAGGCCCCCAGTTATGGACAAGACCCTTCCTGAATCATGTGGAAAAATGGAGCAACGGGCTGGGCCGCCCCAGCCAGCAGTGCCCAGAGGAAGAGGCACACGGGCGCTCCCTGGGAGGCAGAGCTGAGGTGACAGTGCTCCTCAGTGCTGTGCCCCATCTGGCCTGGCTGTCCTGATGGCTGGAGGTCAGATCGGATCTGCCCTCTTGACCCAGCCCAGCCCAGCCCAGCCCAGCCGGCCCGTCTGCATCAGGGCCTTGGGACAGACAGCCCTCTCCCTCTCCCCACCCACGCTCCCAGCCCTCACCTTAGAGTGGGGCCATCAGAGTTAAATTGTAGGCCTGACCAGGAAGCTGGCAAAGCAAACACATCCGTGCATCATTATCGTTGCTAAAGCTAATACCATGTGCCGTGTGTGGGGGGAGAGGGGCAAACAGCCCAGCTGAGGACGCCATGCCACAGCTGTCCCCTGCCCCACAGCCAGAGGCCCTGGGCCCCATCCTAGAGCAGTAGCAAGGATGCAACGATGTCTCCAGCTGGTGGGAGGGAGGCTCCCTTCCTTCCCTGGACCCCTCATCCAGGAGAAGACTTCCTCCAGGGCAGGGGGTCTGCTCTGAACGCAGGCCAGGGAGGCACGCAGGGGTAGCATGCAATGACTGGGCTGCAGAGGCCAGCCACCTCCCAGCAGGGTCTGAAGCACATGAGACTCCCTGGGAGATTTGGTCATTACCTTGGCTTTGAAGAGCAGATCAGAGCTCTCACAGACAGGATGCGAAGAAAACTGAGAAGGGAAAGACTAGCCACAGCGTAGACCTTCCCTCGGGGTTTGCCTGGTGGGCAGAATGCCCTCATAGCTCATCTCTCCCCAGAGCACTCCATGCACCTGTCACATGGGATCTCAGGTCTGGAAGATCCAGGCAAGAGTTCCTCCCATGTGCCAGTGCCCACTGGCCACGCTGGCCGGCCAGTCTCCACAGGACCCCCCTTCCCAGGATGGAGATAAGGGCCTTTCGCTTTACCCTGGCGTCTGCTAATGCAGGGTCTGTGCCTCAGCAGCAGAGATGGGCCCTGGGCAGCCCTGCCTTCTCATCAGCACCTGCCAGGGAACTTGACGAAGGACCAGTGCCCAGGTCCCATCCAGAACTGGTTAATTCAGAATGTTGGAGGGTGAAGGCCAGACACAGGTATTTGTCTTCAAAGCCTATTGGAATCAGGAGATTCCGATATGCAGTCAGCACTGAGGACCGCTCCCTGGGCGGCCAATGGTGTTACTCTTGTTACTCTTTTCTTGGGGAAGAGCCATGAGCTGTGAGCCTTAGTGTTGCTTCTCCAAGGTTTTTTTCCCACCAGTTTTCTCTTTTTCCTTAGTTTTCTATCCTAACACATGATTTGTATTTCTTTTGTCTTGCTCTTCTGTTCTGTTGCACTGATCTTTTTTACAGTGGTCTTGGTCTCTTCCCTTTCGTGCGGTTATTGCTTTGCATCCACCCTTTCGTGACTGCCCGCTGCGACAGGCAGAGCGCTAGGTGCTGGGGGCCCAGCGAGAACCAGAAGGCCGGGTCTCGTGAAGTGTGTGTCTATGGCAGTTTGTCCTGTTCTTTCTTTTCTTTTTTCTGTGACATTTGAAAAAAATTTTATAGACATACATCAGTGGTGCCTTCTTCATTTTGTCTCTTTTCATCCCTTAATCAAACTCTTATCTTAGCACACTGATTGTAAACAAAGCCTCTGCTAAGGGAAGCTAAGTCAGCTCAGTTACATGCATTGCATGATGTTGTATGTGTCTGTGTGTGCACACACCTGTGTGGTGTTGTGTTGTGCGTACACAGGAGCATGGGCTTTTGGGGAGCATTTGAGTCTGGAGATTCCCAATCCACGCCTCCTCTTACTTCTGTGACTGGGAAGGGTCTTGGAGAACACAGGGTTGTCTCTTTGCCCCTGGACAATGCCCAAACCATGAAAGAAGATTACTGAAGGCCTTACATGTGCAGGAGACCGAGCTAGATGCTCTCTGGTGGGAGAGGGTCCTGGAGTGCCAAGGCGGCAGGAAGAGAAAGGTCCAGCCTCGCCCTTGGGAAGCCCCCCAGCGCAGGCAGGAGTGAGCCATATAAGGGGCCATGGTGAGGGCCAGTGGGGACTTCAGAAGAACCCAGGCTTGGGGCACAGAGTTCTCGGGGCTTTGCCGGCATCGGTGCATGCTGCTCTGATGGCACTGTGGCTCCATCACTCCATCATTCCATCACTCCATCACTCCCACAGCTCTTGTGGGTACCCTTCCTCTCCCAGCTGTGCATCTTCCCTAAAGTAGGCTCTGATGGGCACATGTCCTGGGTGATGGGCTACCGGCACGTTGGCCGAGGTCACCAGGGGGCCCAGATTAGGTTTCTCCTGTTGAAAGAAGAGGACAGTTTCACCTACTCTCTGCTCACAGCCCTTACACACTTCTATTTGCACTCTCCTCCCCGGGCCCAGAGCTCACTGCAGGCATTGCTTCTAGCTCCTGGCACAAGGGAGTTTGGTGCAGCTGCATGTTTTTACCAGAGGGAAACACAGACCTGTCTCCCATTTCTCAGAGTCTAGGGCTTTCTTTGCGGATCTGTTCTACCACTCTCTGCGGTGGCGGTTTTCAAAGTCTTGGCTTTTTTTTTTTTACTGTGATTTATATTAAGAAACACAGGTTGCATCAGCACACGTAGCTGAAACAGAAGTTTCCTCAAACATTACTTACCCTTACCGAATGCAGTGCCCTGGACTCTTTCACATTCTATTATATTCTTTTAAAGCAGGGCTTATCGTTCATCAAATGAAATCCATGGGGGTAATAGTGGCTCATAGATAACCCCCAGTTTGAAAATTGTCCACTCTAATCCACGTGCTTGGTCTAGCGCCTCCTTGTGGATTTCTGGACAACAGCAAGCCCTCAGACTGCCATGCCTAAAGGATTTGAATTCATGGACCTATGCTTTTCCCAGCAGAAACGTTTGCTGATTGTCGCTAAAAATGAACATGGAGCATCTTCCCTTCTCTAGGACATGTCTTTTTAGGATGTTTTAGTAGCAGACATCAAAGAACAAAAATTTACCGATAAGCGATGGAGCCTGTCTCTGGCTTTTGACCAGTGCTTGCCCCCTTATTTTCACAACTGCTGAGAGATCACATAATAAATAGGTGCCAATTAAACTAACGCCTGCAGGCAGCCCACAGCTGTGTCTGACAGCGAGCTGCCCAAGGACGTCCTCCCCCAGGGCCTCGCAGGCGATGAGGGTTTCCTGACGCACTGAGAGAACACAAAGGTTTCCTATATCTAAGAGCACATTTACAAATGTCTCCGGAGGTCAACAGTGTTTTTAAGTCATTTTTCTAAGCGTAAAAGAGGTTCAGTTGGTGTGTGTGTGCCAGCCAGGGAGGCCTGGGGAACATGCAGAGAAGCCGTTAAGAGACGAAGCAGATGCATGGCTTGTAGAGCGGGGCCATTTCTGCCCATTTCCCATCATGCCTCCCACCCCACTGGCCAAAGCCAGAGTGGGGACCTGCGAATGCTCATCCCATCCAAGTGCTGGAAAGTGCTGAGTGTGCCCAGCAAGTTCCACGACTCACCTCTGGGTGGTCTCTTGATTGAACACACAGACAACCAATATGCGGTATGCAGGTCAGGCCAACAACGCTCCTGGCCACCCCATGCTTTGGTGGGGGAGCGCAGGGGCGGCAACAGAAACAAACCTCTGCACCACGGAGACCAGGGTCCCCAGTTGTGCTGCTGAGGCACAGGGGGGGCCCATTTCACAGGGGGACTACGAGATTTCACACTTGGAAGTGGCTGCACGCTGTACAGCTGTTACAAAGTCGCCTCGCTCATGTCATGGCTTTATATCCAGAACTTAGAGCTGAGAAATTGTACAGAGCTTATAGCTGAGAACTTGACACACCCAAATTCTCACAGCTTTGGAAGAACTGAGATTCTAGTCCAGCACTCAGGGGTCTCCAGCCCCACGTGCCTCCAAGCAGGCCAGTCCTCAACAGTGGCAATTTCTGGGTCCCCTCCAACCTGGGAGGCCACACAAAGGATGCTGTGTAGGCCTGCTCTTTTGGTGCTTGAGTCTAGAACCTGCTGCCCATCTTTGACCCAACCACCTTGAGAAACCTTCTGCCTAAATGTTAATATTTATCATTTACAGTTGGCCACTGCCCCCTTTCAAAGGTGAACACAGTAAAATTTATGACAGGCACACTATCAGACTACAGAAGAGCATAAAAGGAGGAAGAGTGACAGGTCGTCCATCTGTAGAACCTGTTCATCCGAGGCCAGCGACACCTGCAGGATTTGAGCATGAAGCTGCAGCTGCACATTTTCCTCCTGGGGCTGCTGCCACTGCTCCTGGGGCAACAAGGTGAGTCTGCCAGGGCCCGCTTTGCTGGCGGCCCCTGCTGCTGGGCCATGGAGCTCGGGACAGGAACATGCATGCCCTCTGCGTGAGCACAAAATGCACGGTTCAGGCCTACGCAGGCTCCAGTGCTGCGGCCGAGTGCCCGAGGCTGTGGGGCCGGAGTGGGTCTTGGGATGAGTGAGGAGGCACAGGCAGCAGCTCCGTAGTGGGGAGCAAACGCTGCCAGTGTAGAGAGTCACCGGGATCTGGACTCCGGTTCTCCGTGCCGTGTGGCCTGGGCAAATGCTCCCTCTGTGGGCCTGTATTTTTTCCTCTCATTCTTAACATGGAAATACCCCTGCTAAAGAAAAGCACATTTGGGTTATTCTATTTATGCCTTGTTTTTGCTAAAAGGACAGAGGAAGGCAGATTTCAGGGTGATAAATTCTAAGGGATTGGCCGCCTTCTTTAGTGCTCTGGAACTTGATGTTACAGAGTGGGCCCCAGGAAGGGCTTGTGCTTGTCCCCACACTGAGGATCCTCCCTCTGTTTAGAAAGGCAGACTCTTTTACACTGAGCAGGGCCTTGAAGATACTGTAGCCTCTCCTGCAGCGAGGCCTGGGCCCAGAGGGAAAGGAGGGGGTTCGCAGCTGAAGCCTGGGCCCAGCCGGGTCCCAGTGCCGGTTCTGCGGCTCACCCTGGACAGATTAGCCACCCTCCGAGTCTGGGGTGTGTGACGGGAGGGGTGTGAGGTCGGGGGATGATGGCGCTGGCCACACCACTTACGGCACGGTGACTGCATTCTCCTAAGTGCTAATGAGGCTGAGGTGCTTTTTAAAAAAATGTTTGTTGACCACTTTAATTCGTTTTTCATGAAGTATCTGTTGAAGTGGTTTCCCATTTTTCTGTAGGTTGGTTCTCTTTTCATCAGCAGACAGCATATATTCTGATGCGTGTCTTTCCACTCTCTCTAAAGAGACATTAGATGAGCCAATTCCTTAATTTGGGGGAAAAACGTAGACCATCCAAATGGGAACAAATGGAGGCTATTTCCTCAGGGTTTGCTCGAGCAAGTGGGTCAACCACTATCATGCGTGTTGGGCAGAGTCGCTGAGGCAGGTGGGGGAGTGGGCGAGCCTGAGAGTGAAAAGGGGGAGGCTTCAGGTGTGCTGTGCTTGGAGGTGGTTGCCCTGGGGAAGCCGCAGGCTCCGTAACCAGAAGCGAGGTCTTCTTAAGTGATTTGCTGGGGGAACATGCCTGGCTTTCTGTGGCTGGTCCTGAGCCGGAAGCAGGGACAAGTATAGGGAAGCTTCAGGCACAGACTGAATCCTGAGCGTCTGGGCTGACTGCTGCAGCCGTGGTGGCTGGGCTTCCGGGGCAGCCAGCTGCAGGTGCGGGGGTGGCCAGAGTCTGTTCGTACGTTGTCTCTCGATTTCTAAAGATTTTCCATCTTTTCCCTAACGGCCTGTGCGCTTTGCATGTTATCCGAGAACCCCACTTCTCCCTTGCAGTCAGGAAGATATTATCCTGTATTTCCTCCTAAAAGTTTTACAAACTTGATTTTCCTTTTCAGGGTCTTTAAAACATCTGGGATTGACTTTTGTGATGCGCATGTTTGGTTCTTCTTTTTTTTAAAATTTTATATATTTATCTTTAGAAGAGAAGGGAAGGGAAGGAAAGGAGAGAGGAAGAGAAATATCAATGTATGGTTGCTTCTCGTGTGTCCCCTGCTGGGAACTGGCTCCTGCTGGAAACTAGCCTGCAACCCAGGCATGTGCCCTGACGGGGAATCAAGCCGCGATCTTTTGGTTCACAGGCCTGCGCTCAATCCACTGAGCTACACCAGCCAGGGCTTAGTTCTTTAATGCCTCTCAAAGTTTGATTGTTTTGTTTGTTGAGGTCTTGCGTATGTTTCATTATTCTCACGTATATGACTTTGTTGTATGGTGAATGGCTTTTCAACTTTTTATTTTGAAAATGTTACCGATATCTAGAAATAAAATTGACTTTACTATGTTGATTTCGAACCCAATTAAGTCCTCATAAATGTCACTGAGGTACATGTGTACTCTTTTGGGTCGCCTGTGTGCACAGTCCTGCCAGTGACAAGAGTTTGCTGCTCTCTGTGTGTGCGATCTGCGTGCACTTCCTGCTGCTGCCTCACAGTGCCGGCTGGCGCCTCTGGGACTGCCCCTCCCGAACATGGCTGTGGAGGTGTTCTTACCTCATTGCCAAGTTCAAGGAAAAGTGTTTAATGTGTGGTCAGAAAGTATGGTGTTTGCTACTGGCATTTCTCTGGATACTCTTTACAGAACTAAGAAAATTTGATTTTATTCCCAATTTTCTAAGAGGTTTTTTTTTTAAAGTCATAAGTGGATGTTGAATTTTATCTAATATTTTCTGCACTTATTGAGATGATTGTATGATTTTTCTCCTTTAATCTGCTAGTGTGGTGAAATAAATTAGTTGATTTGTTATTTTATATTTTTCAGTCATCGCTGGTTAGATTAACCAAAGATCACAGATGGCACTTACTTGTCCTGCCTCTTTAGTCTCTGGAACGATTCTTTAGAACACTGCTTCGCCTCTTTGTTTGTTTGTTTGTTTGTTTGTTTTCTACCTCAGCCATGCAGCCAGCCATTTCTTCAGTTGATAGGGGATGTTACTTAGAAACCAAGAGCTGGGTGCTAGGGGCTGCTGGGTGTCACTGTGTCTAAGCCCTCTCAGGGGACAGAGAGGAGAAATACCGTTTTCATTTCAAAAAATGTTTTCACACAGTCATCTCTAATTTCAGGTAGAAATAGTCTTTTGTCTCCTTCCGCCATTCCAGATCTGTATTGTCTTCCCACAGTGCAAACCGGCGTCATAAAATATCAGCAAATTTATCTACGTGCCAAACCCTACGACACGTGTACCATAATACCAGTCATCGCAGCAACAACATCATCAACAATGCGGTTCAAAATCTCGTTGCTGTTCTTTGTCTTTGGAGGACATCGCTCAGGGCGCATAATCCAAAGACTTTGTTCAAAATCAGTGGGTTCATTTTCTCTCCTGTTTTCTTTTTGTGGTTATGTTCTCTGACAGATCGTTAAGTTCATCGGTTTGTATTCAGTTACAAGGCTTCTCCTGCTCTTGTTGATTGTACTTTATTTTTGCAGATGTGACAGGTTAACATGGTTAAAAAATCGAAGCTCCGAGAAAAGGCATAGCTCTCCGAGCCATCCCAGCCCTTCCCGGGCCCGCCCACCTCTGTTGGTGCCTGATTTCAGTGTGTTCACATTCTTTCAGTGTTTCTTTTTACAAACATATATTCTTATTTTTTCCCTTTGCATAAAGGGAACCTACTATATACTTTTTGCATCTCGATTTCCCCACTGAACGCTACACCTGAAATGTTCGTTTGACTCCCTTACCTTGGACGCCACGTCTCTCAGGTTCCTGTCCAACTTGAGCATCTCTGTCCTTCCGTGCTGCCTTCCAACAAACCTGTGACGGCACGTGTTCTAGTTTGTTCTTTCAGTCATGTCCAATTTGCTGCTAAACCTGATGAGTTCAAGAGCACTGAAGATTTTGAAAATTGACTTGATTTTTTCAAATTTAATTTACATTTATTTACCAAATTTGTAAATGTTGCCTTTTAAAAAAAATCTTCAACTGAGGATATGCTTAGAAAGGGGAAGGGAGGGGGAGAGAGAGAAACACTGATGTGAGAGAGAAACATCGATTCGGCTGCCTCCTCGTTCGCACGCTGACTGGGGACCGAACCTGCAACCAGGTGTGTGCCCCACCTGGGAATCCAACCAGGGAGCCCCTGGTTCACAGGAGGACCCTCCAACCAACCGAGACACCCTGGCCACAGCCAAATGTTGCTTTTTAAAATGATTTGGGGTTCCTCTAAATATCTTCCAGTTTATCTTTTTTCAAACACAGTTTTATAATTTTTGTCTGATAATTTCAGTATTCAAAGTCTTTGATCTGGTTCTGCTCAATTTTTTATGCTAATTTTTGCTCCCTGATATCTTGTTTCTTTCTGTGCTTGGTTATTTTTATTATTGTGAGCTGCTCAGACCCCTTACAAATTATTTGTGAGATTCTTTGAGGCCCAGGATAAAAAAGTCTCTCTTCATAGACTGTATACATGTCATTGTGTGAGCACCGGAGACATTACCATTTGAGAATCACTTCAAATGAAGCTCATGGTGCGAGGTTCTCCAGAACAGCCAACCTCCATGTTAAACACTGTACATATATAACAGCTTCCCTTTAAGAGGGATGCTGTACTACTATCCTCATTTACAGATGAGAAAACTGAGTCTCAGAAATTAAATAACTTGTCCAAGGTCATCCAGCTAATAAATACAGGAGTCAGAATTCAGTCCTAAGTCTGAGTCCAGAGCCGGGACCTCTGGCCACCACCCTGCATTTCAATCCAGCCCAAGGGAGGGACAAGTCACCACAGGGCTTTACTTTAAGCTTGAACATGGACACACAACACATAGGAAAACAGATTTCAGCTCCGAAAGTTTATAAACTTTATAGAGTTTATAAAACTACAACTACAATCACGATCTCGAAACTGCCACTGGCAAAAGCAAGTTGGCGAGAAATTGCCATGTTTAAGAAAGTACAGTTTCACCTGAATTTCGTGTTCCTGGAATGGGTCAGAGGTCCTCCAGCGGGCAGCCGTGCCTCCCTCGGTAAGGCCCCTGTGCTGGGTGAACTCGCTGTGAGAGGAAAGGAGGCCCTCTTTTGTTATCAGAACAAGTGAAGCTGCTCAACGTTCCTTTCACAAGGGCTCAGAGTCCTTCCCAGAGGTCGCCTGCCCAGCCTTCTAGAAATACTGGCCTTTCAAATAAGAGTAGAAAGCAACCTTGGAGAACTTCTGGTGGCCCACACCCTTCCAGTCACTGATAAGAGAGGGGAGGGGACTTGCTTGAGTCATATCCATAGTTGGTGGCTCCCCACCCCCACTGCAGCCTACACACTTGCCTCCCGAGTCCTGCTGTGGCTGTGAGCCCAGG